GGATCGGGGTGGGGGTGTGGAATAGGGAGAAATCCCCGGGATCGGGGGGGAACAGAGAGAAATCCCCGGGATCGGGGGCGAGCAGAGTTCCCACCTGATCCTGGGAGGGATGATGAGCTGTTTCCTACAGGGACTGGTGTTGTGGCCTCAGCGATTTGATCATGACACAAAGGTAGGCAGCACTGGAAGCAGAGAGAAATTAGTCTGAATCGTCAGCTCATCCACGTTAAACCTAAAATGAAAAGAACAGGAGATTCTCAAAATGATGGAAAGCTGGAAACAATTAGGAAGAGAGAGAAAGTTAGTGATCCAGGTACATAAATCGTCAAAATCTTAGGAACAGTGACAGAAAATAATGAGAACAACGGAATGCTGGCCGTTGTTTTTGGAGGTTAGAATATGTGTGGATAAAAGAAATGCTTCAGTTTTATAAGTTGCTGGGTAGACCAAAGCTGGAAGATGTGAACAGTTCAAGGCACCATACCCTAAGAAAGAGATGTTTGTCTTGGAGGCATTGATATCATCAAATCACAGAATAGTTTTTGCATAGAGGAGGCTGTTCAGCCCACCGTATTCATGCTGGCTTGCTGCAGCTTTATTTTTTCCCACTGGATCTGCATGTCACTGACAAGGCCATCATTGTTACCTATTTTCAGTGGTTTCCTTGGCCATTTCGGAGCCAAGAATTCCTTAAGATTCACCCGCATTGCAGTGGGTCTATAGTCACATGTAGGTCACCCCAGTTGGGGATGGCTTATTGCCTTACCAGATATGAATGAATTTGATAGGTTTATGCAACAATTGATAATAGTTTCATGGGTACCATCACTGCAACTAACTTTAAATTCCAGATTTGTTAATCGAATTTCAATTCCACCAGCTGCTGTGGTCAGATTCGAGCCTCTATTCCCAGTTCATTAGCCTTGGTGACCAGTGAGGTGTCATTGCCACAGCATCCCCCACCTCCCCAATAATTCACTAAGTGCCATTCACTTGCCTTTTTCTCATAGCTGTGCACTGTTTTGCTTTTGAGCTCCACATTCAGGAAACTCAACCTCTCCTTGAATGTTGCCAAAGTCAATTTTGTATATTAACCCAATACAGACTATTAATCATTCCTCTTTCCATTTGAATTCAGGAATGTTGTGTGAGCTCATAATCAGATCAACCAATGATTTTCCTAAATGGAGCAGCAGGGCTTGAGGGTCTGAATGACCTTCTGCTCCTAGTTTGGATTTTGAAGGAATGACTCTGAAATATGGTGTGCATTTCTCATACCTTGGTTGCTACCTCTCAAAAACTGTCAGTGATGTGGTCCAGCAACAGATCGGCTGTGTCAGCTCCGCCTTCTGCAACTCTTAGCGCTCCCATTGAAGCCAGCTTCACCAGTACTGAGGCAAAATTGTAGCAAAATGTACTATGATGGACTGGAGGCAGTGTCCAGAAGCTGGAAAGTATCCCCCCAACCCCTGTCGGGTCCTGTTCCCTCAACCCTCTGTGGCCAGTATTCCAAGGACAGCACAGTGAAGTGCTGACACTTTGAAGTTTATCATGAAGCACAGCAACATTGACAGTAATGACTTGGAATCAATTATTCAAAACAGCAATCTGCATTAAGTTATGAGTCAGGATCTTTTAATGATGAGGTGGAAGGTCAGTATTGAGGTAGCACAGTATTGTTGAAATGGTCAATACTGAGGGAGTACAGCACTGTTGAAATTGTCTTTTGGAAGAGCTAGTAACATGAGGCTACTTCTGGGCTCTGGGGTTTAAATAAAAGATTCCAGGCTATTACTTTGAATAAGAACAAGGGAAATGATATTCTGTATGATATTAATCAGGATCCCTTCAGCTACACACCATCCTGACTTGGAACTATCTCACTGTTGCTGGGTCAGAATCTGAGAACTGTGGTTGCCTTTACATCACCTCAGTAAGGCAGCTCACCACCACCTTCTCCAGGGTGATAAGGGATTGGCAACAATCATTAGAATAGCCAGCAATGTCCACTTTCTGGGGATAATTGAATCAATTTAGAGCAGATGACCAGATCGTTGTTGGGCCTGTTTCTGTGTGAGCTGTTTGTTTATTTAATTGGAAGTGATTTTGATGGATACTGCCGACATTTAAGTTGTTCCTTTAGGTGAAATATTAATGGATTTAAAATTAAGGGTGTTAGGGATAGAAGATGCTTCCTATTTGTAATTCATTTTTGTCTTTATTGAAACTAAGGTTGAATTATTTCAACTTGCAAAACAATGAAATTATGGCTAATGGAAACATTTTTGAGTTTGGAATTTGTAAATATTGTTGCTGATGGATGGGTGGTTGTGAAGCTGCTTTTGAGTTTGCCTGGATGTGTAGAGAGTGCTTGGAATAGTTTAATAATTCCTGGACCCAAGAGATTCAGAACAACTTGTTGGCTGAACTGGTGTTGTCTGCCTTGGATTTTTGTTTCATTATATTGTGACATGAATACTCCCTGTGGAATTTAAATGTTTTGATTGTTCAATGCATTTCAACATGCTGTGTATTATTGGTTTGTTGATTTGATGTTGAGGGGCAGTGGACTAGTTTCGAACCTCAAACCCAACAACCTTTGACGGCAACCACCCTTTTCTGAAATATTGATGTGTTTGAGCTGTCAGATTCTGTTTTTCTGTCGGGGCCCTTAATTCACTATTATTGAAAGAAAATGAACCTTGCCTTGAAAGAATCAGGGAATAGAATGTCACAGCACAGGAGGAAGCAATAGTGGACCATGGTGCCTCTGTTGGATCTTTGAAAGAGTTATTGAAAGAATACATCTTCCCTCAAACTGCACAATTTTCCCCTTCAAGTATTTATTCAGGTGCTTTTTAAAAGTTATTCATAAGTCTACAACGCACAAGCCAGGAGTGTGACGGAATATTCCCCACTTGCCTGGATGGGTGCAAGCACCAACAACTCAAGAAGCTTGACACCATCCAAGACAAAGTCGCCCACATGATTGGCACCATATCCACTCCCTCCACCACCGATGCTCAGTAGCAGCAGTGTATACAAGCTACAAGATGCACTGCAGAAAGTTACGAGGATACTTGACAGCACCTTCAAACTGTCCTTGAGACCATTTCCATCTAGAAGGAAAAAAGCAACAGGTACGTAGGAACACCACCACCTGCAGGTTCCCCTCCAAGCTGCTCGCCACCCTTACATGGAAATATATTGCCACTCCTTCAGTGTCGCTGGGTAAATATCCTGGAATTCCCTCTCCAAGGGCATTGTGATGCAGCACAATGACTGCAGCTGTTCAAAAGGGCAGCTCAGCACCACCATCTAAAGGACAACTAGGGATTGGCAATATATGTTGGTCCAGCCAGTGATGCCCACGTCCATGACTGAGTTTAAGAAAAAGTACTTCCACTGCTCTTTCTGGCAGTGCATTCCAAATCACAACATAACACTGCAAAAAATAAACTCCTATCTCCCCTCGTATCAGTTTGCACAACTGCTGGATGACTAAAAAAATCTGTTCTGATGTTGTGCATTTGAAACAGGAAGAGCCTTTACAACCCCTCGAACCTCTTCTCTGGTTTAGTTTGGATCATTCCTTATCTATATTATAGCTATCATTTCTTTGATTCTGTTACCTCTACTAAAAACAAATTTATTAATCATATCTTTGAAATGTTTAACCCCCAACAGGCCTGGATAAGATTTTTGGGGATGTTGAGGCAAACACAAGTCTAAGTTTTTGCTCCCCTCAGAATTCTGACATTACCTGGATGTCCTATCTGAAATTTTTAAGGTTTTTACATCTTCTCACTGACAAAACATTCACTATGTTTCTCTCTCCACAGATACTGCCAGACCTGTTGGGTTTCTCCACCACTTTTCTGTTTTTATTTGAGACTCCTAGCGTCCATAATAATTTGCTTTTATTGAAAGAAATAGTTTACTTCTTTACCCCTTCAACACCTTTTACCATTTTAAATATCTCAATGAAATCACCTTTAATCTTCAATATTTAAAAGAATATAAGATGAAGATGAGGAAACTCTTCTCTCCAAGGGTTGAGAGTCTGTGGAATTCTCTTGCCCAGAGAGCGGTGGAGACAGGGTCCTTAAAAATTAGATTCTCGACCAACAGGAAAATCAAAAGCTATAGGAGTAGGGGGGAATGTGGAATTGAGGCCACGTCCAGATAAGCTCTGATCTTATTGAAATGCAGGGCAAGCGGAAGGCATAGAATGACCTAGCCGTGCTCCTAATTTGGATGTTTGTGCATATGTTCAAATCTAGACTATGTAATCTGTCCATATAATGTAACCTTTTTGATCCCAGGATCTTTCTGCTGAATCTGTGCTGTACCCAATCAAAGGCCAAGAGATTAATTCCTGAGCAGCAATGCTCAGAACTGATCAGTATTCAGTTTAACCAGGCTTTAACCAGAGATTTCTGTTGTTAGAACAGAAATCTCTCACCTTTGTGTTCCTTAAGGTAAAGGTTAGCATTCCATAATTCCAAAAAATTGATTCATTTCAGTCTCCCACTTGGTGCTGACTGGCTTAAGATTGGCACTTGTGCTTGATACTAAGCCTCAAACAATATGCATCACACGATGCAAAAGCAGATATCGAGACAAAGGTGGAGATGAGGGAATTTCAGAGCTGAGCTGGCTAAATGCACAGCTGTTAGCTTGAATAGGAATCTGAGGGAAGTCCATTTGCGCTGTTGTAACCTACACAATGTGCAGCAATGGTGCATTAAAGAGATGAACTGGGAGTTTACACAGTGTGAGTGGCAACGCAGAGTACCTGCTGTAATGGTGTGGTGTATTGCATCTGGAGTACTGTGTACAGTGCTGGCTATTGTACTTACAGAAGGATGTTAATGTGTTGGAAGTTTCAGAGGTTTACTAGACCTGGAATGAGCAGATTGCCATATGAGGAAAAGCTGGACAGTCTAGGCCTGTATCTTGTGGTGTGTAGATGAGTAAGAGGTGATTTAATTTTTGTTAACTGGTTTACTTTGTTTTGTCTCTGCAGCTTGTTCCTTCTTTTTGGGAGACGTGGAATGTTCCGGAATGGGTAAGAGTATTTTCCTCCCAGTGTGCAATACGTGAGGCAGGAGGGCAGGTGCATTCTCCCTGCGAGTAAACCCAATCATGGAGGTGTTCAATTGTACTTTGGAGAGGCAGAATCTTTGAGGAGTTACTCCTCTAACCAGAGATGTGGTGTCTCCTATGCAGGCAGCTCCAGCTCCACCTATCTCCGATTCCCTCTTTCATGCTCTTGTTGCTCCTTGAGAAAAAGAATCAATGACTGGAGGAGCAGCAGTGATGGGAAAGAGGGAACCTGTGATTGGAGAAGCTGATTTGGCTGGTTCCTAAGCATGAAGGAGACTTGATTGAGGTTGGAGCAAGCTCTGGAATATGTTTACTCAGCCTGCCTGAGTGAAGTGAGTGCCTGTTGTGGCAGCGCCCAAGTTCCAACCAGCTGGGTTGGCAGGGCCTGGGCTGGATCTGAATTTCAGCCAGTTGGTGGGTGTGATGGGGTATGATGCTAGGCCCAAGTTTCAATCAAGTTCCAGGGAGCTGCAGGCCACCATAATACTACTTTGAATTTTGCTGTAGTGCTTTGAAACTAGAATGAATGCATTATTTGCTTTGTTACCCTACTTTTGGCACATAAACATGAGTGAGTTCAAAGATTGTGCATGATATATGCAGGACTCTGCTGTAATCACACAACATTTACTTTCGCCATATACAAATTGTTCCATGTCAGCAATAAGTCTCCTTTTCCTGTTCCTTTTGGGATGTAATTTAAAATCCGATCATAAACCCGAACGTCAATTTCTTTCAATCCCTGAATTGCCTTGTACCAAGTATTTATTTAGTTTATGTATGTATACAATCTTTGCTGTTTGTGCTACCTTATGTTTCTAAAACAGAAAACTCTGAAAACAATTTAACACATATTGAAGGTATTGTTGTTACATGAGTGGATCATTGAATGAAAAAGTTAGCGAGAATGAAAACAGAGCATCTGAAAATCAAAAAACTAGCCCCTGAAAAGTTGTCCTCCTCCCTCCTGAAAGACCTCAGTGGATCTCTCTACCACTGCAACCCACTGGTGATCTCTTTCACCCTGAAGGTCCTTGAACACATACTGAAGCAAACCCGGTACTACAGCCACATCTCCTTTCTCAGTACCTGCCTACGATCCCCACTACCCCTACGTACATCCATCTATCGCCATCCCACCTACCTTCCCCAGCCCCACCCCTCCTCTCTATTTATTTCAGAGCTCCCTTTCCCCTCCCCCATTTCTGAAAAAGGGTCCCGACCTGAAACGTCAGCTTTCCTGCTCCTCTGATGCTGCCTGACCTGCTGTGTTCCTCCACCTCCACACTGTGTTGTCTGTGACTCCAGCATCTGCAGTTCTTACTATCTCTGCTTTTGAGAAAATGTCGTAATTAAACATGTTGAAGCATTGTCCTTGTCGAGAAGCAGATAAGCATATATAAGTAATAAGGACAGTGGAGGATAAAAGGAATATTGAGGAGGAGGAGGAGGCATAGAACATTGCCAATATCTGCGTAGCTAATACTGAATGGTTAGGCAGGTTCGACACCCTCCTCTCATATTTAGAGGCAGAAGAATGAACAGAACTGGCAAGGTTAGTTACCACATTTTAAAGTGATCTATAGGGAAAACTAGGGTGTACAACATTAATCGTACATGATGTGGATGTGCAGAATCCTCTCCTGTAAAACACTCTTATCACTTAGGTCTGAAGAACCAGGCCCAGGTGAAAACAGAAATCCGATTCATGTTGGAAAAACTGCCTAATTGAATCCAGTCGAAGCAGCTGGAATTCCCCAGTAATGGCAGTGCCTAAGCCTGATGTATCAACCACATTCCGCATTGACAACAGTAAAGTCAATGCAGTAATGAGGGCAGATTTGATTTCAATTCCTCACTTAGAAGGCTGCATTGATAGGGTTGGTAGTGTTAGATTTCTTACCAAAATTGATTTGTTAAAGGAATATTGACAAGTTCCTTTAACACTTGAGCTGAAGACACATCAGCCTCTAATACTAGACAGTCTTTTACAATGTCAGGCAATACCATTTGGTCTGAAAAATGGTCCAACAACTTTTTAGAGCCTGATTAACCAAATACCTTGATGATATATTGGTATACAGTGATACTTGGGAGAGCCATTTGGAAGAAATGGGAACTGTTGTTTAGACAGTTGCAGTCGGTTGATTTGGTGAAAAAAGATGAATGTGCAGTGGCATGACTAACCTACCCTTGGGTGACAGGACAAGTGCTGCCAAGAACAGCCAGGGTGCAAGCATTAGTGGAATTCTGTGTCCCCAATACTAAACAAGGATGCATGGAGACTTTTGGAGATGTGTGGCTTTGATTGCAAGTTTGTACCAAATGTCAGCACTACAGCTGCTGTGCTGATGGATTTGTTATCGAGTCATATAGTCGTACAACACAGAAACAGACCCTTCGGTCCAACCAGTCTATGCCAAACATAATCCCAAATTAAACTAGTCCCACCTGCCTGCTCCTGGCCCATATCCCTCCAAACTTTTCCTATTCATGTACTTATCCAAATTTCTTTTAAACATTGTAATTGTATCCACATCCGCCACTTCCTCTGGAAGTTCATTTCACACATGAATAAGCCTCTGTAAAAAAAAAAAAAGTTTCCCCTCATGTCTTTTTTAAATCTTTTTCCTCTCACCTTAAAAATGTACCCCATAGTCTTGAAATCCCCCATCCTAGGGAAAAGACAACTACTATTAACTCTGTGTATACTGTTCATTATTTTATAAACTGCTATAAGGTCACCTCTCAACGTCCTACACTCCAGTAAAGAAAGTCCCAGCCTATCCAGCCTTGCTCTATAACTTAAACCTCCCATACCTGGCAACATCCTGGAAAATCTTTTCTCAACTGCCTCCAGCTTAATAATATCCTTCCTATAACTGGGGTGACCAGAACTGGACACAGTACTCCAGAAGAGGCTTAACCAATGTACAGCCTCAACATAACTTCCCAACTCCTATACTTGAAGGACTGAGCAAAGAAGGTGTGTGCTGAATGCCTTTTTAACCACCCTGTCTATATGTGATGAAAACTTCAAAGAATTATGTACCTGAAATCCTAGATCCCCCTGTTCTACAACACTACCATTAATTGTATATGCCCTACCCTTGTTTGTTGTTGCAAAAGAAGACTGAGGTTGTGTGGTCATGGAAGTGCCAGGCACTTTTGAGAAGGTTAAAACTGTTTTGACCAATGAACTATTTTGAAGGATAGTGAAAAACAGATTTAGTTTCAAGTATTGTGGAAATACCTAGAGATTTTTTGTAAACACGGGTTATTAAAAGTTCACTGGACATTGGAGATTTGTTTTAATGAAGGCTTTCTGTAAATCACATGATCGGTGATGACTTGTTGCTTTGCTTTGACCATTGCTGGAGCTGTTTTTTTTAGTCGTGACTGACTTTCCATTTCTGAGAACAAAACTGTTGTGTTGATTTCAGGGTGAAAAGTATTTGTTCTCAAGATTGTGCAGTGCAGAAGGAGGTTATCTGGCCCATCATGTCTGCCCTGGCTGTCCAACTGTTTTGCCTTCTCTTTCTCAGTTTACCACATCTTCCCTGACATAATCTCTCACGTGAAATGGAGACAGCTAATAATTTCAAAATGAAATAGGATTTTCGCATGAAGAAAAATAACTTTCAGGATGACAGGAATGCAGTATGAGAATGGGACTGTCTGGGCTGTTGTACAGATGGGCCCAAGGGCCAAATTGTCTCCAATGCTTTGACTCTATATTTTTGGGCCTCTGCGTCACTGTCGCATCGGAGTCATGGATTATGTTTTCATTGGTCTGTCACTCTAAGCCTCGTACAGCAGTGCATCAGCCATGACCACTACTGTGGAGATCTGTCAGTGATTGATTAATTAATAAACCAACCTACTAGGAATCTAGGAATCCTGCAGATTTCCCACTGTACCAAGGGCATGTGAATGAAGCTGCCTAATGAGGTTTGGTCTGAGCCAGGTTACATCTGACTGTTCCCTGAACTAGTTGCATGTATCAAACCATTCTGCTCAACTCACTGAACTACCTCAGGGGAGAAGACAGACCTTTCTTAGTCATGATCGACACCAGCATCCAGGTCAATATTCTCTAGAGCTTAGAAGAATGAGAGGAATGATCTCATTGAAAAATATTAGATTCTGAAAGGGCTTGAGAGCTGGTTAAATATAGAACTTCATGCCCGATGCAAGAACAAAATAACAATGTAAACTGCAATAACACGAATGTAGTGACCAGCTATATCTGATAGGCGCAGAAATATTATGGTGCAAAAGAATGGCACATGGTGTTTGCACAGTCTCCAAATAAGTAACATAACCTAGTTCCATTCTGTCTTTATCTCCCTGACAGTTGCACATTGTTTTTATTTAAATAACCATCTGATGCCCCTCTTGAACCAGCCTTCTCCACATTTCCAGGCAGTGCAATCCAGATCATAACCATTTGTTGTGTATAATTTTTTTTTCTTGCATTACATTTGCTTTCGTAAATTGCTTTCAGGCCGAGTCCACTGCTTCCTGATCCTTTTATGAGTGACAACAGTTTCTCCCTATCTATCCTATACAGTTCCCTCATGATTTTGAAAATTTCAATCACATTTCTTCTTACTCTTCTCTCCAAGAAGAACGGTCCCTACCTTTTCCTAACTGAAGTGTCTCATCTGGATACCATTCTTGTAAATCTCTTTCTCCTGTCTCCAGTGTGTTCACATTTTTCCTATTATGTGGCATCCAGTATGCCAGCTGAAGTATAATAAGTTACTTGGTACATGTGTCCTGTGTTTCTTAAGGATGGCTGGAAATTGACAATATGGGTGACTGGTTCACAAAGCATAGAATTCTTACAGTGTGGAAGCAGGCCATTCAGCCCATTGAGTCCACACTGATCCTCCGAAGAACACCCTCACCTATCCTTGTAACCACACATTTCCCATGGCTAATCTGCCTAGCCTACATATCCCTGGCAGTATGGGCAATATAGCATGGCCAGTACACCTAACCTGCACATCCTTGGACTGTTCAAGGAAACTAGACCGCCCAGAGGGGACCCACGCAGACATGGGGAGAATGTTTAAACTCCACACAGACGGTTGCCCGTGGATGGAATTGAACCCTGATCCCTGGGCTGTGAGGAGCAGTGCTAACCACTGAACCACCGTGCTTCCCCAATGGCATCACACTTTTCATAAAGAAACCTGTTCTAATCGTTTATGTGATTCTTGTGGCATTGGCTAACTCAGGCTGCTGATTTATTCCTGAAGCAGTTAGCTTTGTTATGGAAATTGGGGAGCATGGTGGCTCAGTGGCTAGTGCTGCTGCTTCACAGCGCCAGGGACCTGGGTTCTATTCCAGCCTTGGGCGACTGTCTGTGTGGAGTTTGCACATTCTCCCCGTGTCTGGGAGATGTCAGAGGTAGGTTCTTCACACAGAGAGTGGTGGGCGTGTGGAATGCGCTGCCGGCAATGGTAGTGGAGGCAGATACTTTAGACACTTTTAAGCGGCTCTTGGATCGGCACATGAAGGATAGTAAAATGTAGGGTATGCAGGGTAGATTGATCTTAGTAGGATAATAGGTCAGCACAACATCGTGGGCCGAAGGGCCTGTACTGTGCTGTACTGTTCTATGTTCTGTGTCTGCATAGGTTTCCTCCAGGTGCTCTGGTTTCCTCCCACAGTCCAAAGATATGCAGCTCAGGTGGATTGGCCATGCTAAATTGCCCACAGTGTCTAGGGTGGGAAATGTAGTGGTAGGTTAGAGGGTGGGTCTGGGTGGGATGCTGTTTGGAGGGGCGGTGTGGAGTTGATGGGCCAAATGGCCTGCTTCCACGCTGTAGGGATTCTGTGTGAAAATTCAACATTAAAAAATCTGAAAGTTTAAAACTGACGTCAATTATCATTCAGTGTGCTGAGTGGGGAGAGAGCTGAAAATAATTTTATTTCATCCACATTGTGATGGTTGATCTTAATTTGTATGTTTCCTTTTTCCCTGTTCTTTCAGCTGCCTGCCATGGGAGGCTGGAACCACACAAAGAGCACCGTGGAGTTATCTACAGCCCTTCCTGGCCCATGAATTATCCTCCATCCATGAACTGCAGCTGGTACATCCAGGGGGACTATGGAGATCTCATAACCATCAGGTACTGGGCCTGAGTTTTCAGTTTGATGGGGTGCTTTGCAGTAATCTACCTTCCTGACTTGTAAATGGGTCTGTGAGCACGACAGTGTTCTCCCTCCAGTATGGGGGCACTTGCCAGTGTTGCAGAGTTGGTGAGAGAGCTCCCAAGTGTAGGTCCTTCTAGGGTCAGACTATGATTTCACTGCAGAGTTTGTGAGGCTGCTTCTGACCAACTGGAAAGTGCATTGTTTGGTCTTTTGGATGCGGTATCAGTGGTTGGTATGGTTTTAGGTACAATCAGGGAAAAGAGGTTTGAGTTAATTAAGGAGGGTTAGCACAAATTGTAAGAAGCAGTTAATGAGTCAGTAAAGTGTCATATTGGATTTGAAGTGATAACACTTTCTCACTCTACAGATACTGTCAGACTTGCTGAGTTTCTTCAGCATTCTCTGGGTTTGTTTCAGATCTCCAGCATTATTACCACTGGTGGGTAATGTCTGGTACAGAGCGGTAGCTACTCGGTCGTAGGATTTATCCAGAGTGAGGCTGACTTTCTCTCTCTTGATTTTCCAGCTTTCAGAATTTTGACCTAGAGAATTCTCACAAATGTACGGTGGACTGGCTGATGATTGGGCCGACACCAAAACGAGAGGAATACAGAATGTGTGGCTCGTACACCCCCCAACCCTTCATCTCCACAAGAGACCACGCCTGGATCTTCTTTCATTCCGATCCAACTAGCTCAGGTCGCTCTCGGGGATTCCGACTGTCCTATATCCGAGGTGTGCCTAATTAGCCCACTGTTTGTATTGTGTTGGAGGAGGATGACTGCTGATATAAGAGCTTGATGGGGTGGATAAAGAAAAGAGATTTCAACTTGTGAGAAAGGCCACAACAGGGGCCACAAATACAAGTTGTTCACTAATAATTGCAATAGGTAAGACAACAGAAACAATACCCACAGAGTGGTTACAATGTGGAAATTATGACCTCAAGGTGAGTTGAGGTAAATATTGTTGCATTTTGGGGAAGCTAGATAAACAGGAGGGAGAAGGACAGAGGAGGACATGCTGAATGTGATGAAGACTCCTTATTATTTTTGGAAACTTGAGTTCTAAAGTAGAAGAAAATGGATTTTAGTTTTCAGTTCTGTGAAGGTCTGACTTGCTTTCTTTTAAGAAGGCCAGAAAGTCACTTCGAACAGAGGAAACTCAGCATTTCCAAGAAACTGAGAGTTTAGGTCAAGATCGAGGAAGTAAATTTGTGCAGTGATTGAAAAAGATGTATGATCTATCAAGCCAGGTCTGTGTTTGCGGTTAGAGTTACCCAGTTTTACCATCAATTGGGACTATAACAGGATTGTTGAAATGAGGATGGGAAGAAGCGACCACCTGTTCGGCCAGATTAGCTTGTTCCTGTGCTCTACATTTCAGTTTATCTGCAGGGCTTGAGGTTGTGATTTTTTACTGTTCACACAGGGAGACTGACTCAGAGCAGCTGCAAGCCGGACGAGTTCCTGTGTGGGAACGGCAAATGCATCCTGAGCACCTGGAGATGTAATGATATGGATGAATGTGGAGATAACTCTGATGAGCAGCATTGTCAGCTCCCCCCAACCATACCGCACACAAGCCCGTGTTCAGCTAGAACATTCCGTTGCCTGGTGAATGATGCCCCCCAGTGCCTCCCGATGAAAGTTCGGTGCGATGGCAGCATGGATTGTGACCAGGGAACAGATGAGGAAAACTGTCCTGATACCAGCTGTGGCAAGAAAATGGCCAATTTCTACGGTTCGTTTGCTTCACCGGACTACTTCCGATCCCAGCAAGACAGGGCACAGTTGGACTGTACCTGGGTGGTGGATACTCAGGACAGCAGGCACATTGTGTTGCAGCTGAACCTACAGTTGGGTTACAACGATAAGATGCTTGTGTATGATGGAGCAAGCAAGGAGCAGAGCAGACTGCTTCAGGCATTAACCTTCCGTAATAATGGGCACACTATCACCATTGAGTCCTCACAAGGTCAAATCACCGTCTTCTACCACACTGACCCTGGCAGCACAGGCCATGGTTTCAATGCCACGTACCAGGTGAAAGGCTACTGCCTTCCACAACAGCACCCTTGTGGGAATGACGGGGGCTGTTTTGCAGATACTCAGCGCTGTGATGGCTGGTGGCACTGTCCGAACGGCAAGGACGAGGAGAACTGTGCTGCCTGCCAAAAAGATGAATACCCATGTGGGGGCACCAGCGGCATGTGCTACCCACTGGCAGATCGCTGTAACAACCAGAAGAACTGCCCTGATGGCTCTGATGAGAAAAACTGCTTCTCCTGCCAGCCCGGGAATTTCCACTGTGGCACCAAGATCTGCATCTTTGAGCAATGGCGTTGTGATGGCCAGGAGGATTGCCAGGATGGCAGTGATGAACAGAACTGTCTGATGGTGGTGCCAAGGAAAGTGATCACAGCTGCCCTCATTGGGAGCCTGATATGTGGCCTCCTGCTGGTCATTGCCTTGGGCTGTGCTTTCAAACTGTACTCCCTTCGGACCCGCGAATACAGGTACCACAACCAGAGCTATATGTCTCCATCACAGTTGGGTTTCAGTAAAAAACAAACTAAAAAAAGTTTTGAATGAAGAATATTCTCTAAAACTATTAATTTGTAAGATACATTAGATCAGAGCAAGGGAGCTTTTACTGTGAGGGCTGAGGGCCCTCAGATTACGATCTTTTTCAAAATATTAACCCTCTGGCAGTTTGCCACTCCCACAACATTGACTACTCCACAAGGCTTATCCCTCTGCTCCCCCCTTGGTCCTGATCCACCAGCATCATGGACCCTCCAATAATGCAGCGCTCCCTCAGCGCTGACCCTCTGAAATGCAGCACTGTGCTTATTTATCACTCTGGATTATGCAAATCTGAGTTAGGGGTTTCTGAAATTATATTGTTCTGAACCACAATTTTTCCTTTTACAGATCAGGTTTCCTTTTTTGTTTTAGAGCTTTTGACACCCCCATGACCCGGCTGGAGGCCGACTTTGTACAACGTGAGGCTCCCCCATCGTATGGACAGCTGATTGCCCAGGGACTCATTCCACCTGTCGATGACTTCCCTGTCTACAACCCAGCTCAGGTAGACCCTCTGCTCAGGTAGACCCTCTGCTCAGGTAGACCCTC